CAGCAATCTCAAAAACTGTAAATCTTCAACTGGCAATCTCAAACCCAGATCTGGGTTTCATCACATTGGCAATAATCCACCGGCATCAAGCAGCAACCATCACCAGGACCATCATTGACACCGATCTGAGAGATCCTTGGTGGAATGCCACTCACGCAACCTTGAACCAGCATTTCGTCCATTGAAGAAAGGCACAAGCAATAGTTTATTCGACGAGTATCCACAGCCGACTTCTCGAGATCTAGTAGTGAAGAGAGGCACAAGCAACGAATTGGCGAACGACTCCGACGTAGCGGAAAGGAGCTATTGGCGGCGTTGTGGTTTATTCCCGGAGAATCCACAGGTGACTCCTCGAGAACAAGTAGTGAAAAGGCGCGTTGTGGGAAACGAAAACATTTAACCATTGCCATCGATTGTTCTTATTGGGTTGAAAGAACCCAGATTTGGGTTTGATCAAACCCAAATTTGGAGAGAAAGAAGAAGAGAGGAGAGGAGAGAGAATAAGAAAAGTTAAAAAAAAGTCACATGGGCCCCATTAAAAGGGAAATTTAAAACGTGAAAATATGATGGGTAAAAAAATATGCCATGTGTATAAAAAATTTTCTTAGTTGGATTTGCACGTCATTAAAATTCAAAAAGTCTAATGATTTTGTGGCATTTTAACGAGCCACCTGTTATTTAACTGACAAAAGGATCATTTTGGTACCGAAAATGAAAGTTTAAGGATAATTTTAGTACTTTTTAAAATTAAAGGACAATTTTAGTAACAAAGTGAAAAGTTGAGGGACCAAAATGGTACTTAAACCAAAAATATATTTAATATACATTTAACCTTTGTTCTTAAGAGACAGGTTAAACAAGCCCTACATCTATTAGCAATTTAAGAGATTATGTGGTGGTTGGGCACATTAGCGTACTTTTTGTGATATGAATCCTCAATCTTACTTAATGTATATCATTTATTACATCAATTTTACATCTAATTTCATAGCTTACTAATCTTTTAAGAATTTTTTGGCATAATTTTCAATATTATTACTAAAGTGGATAACTCTTTATCCATGATGAAAGAATAAATAAATAAATATTATTTTAAGTTGTGTAGCGAAAAACTACCATTTTTTTTTTCTACACAGTTATGTAGTTTTTTTGTTTCTTTACTCATATTACAAATGTAAAATCAATATACTTCTGCCTCTAAAATGTCTAATAAACTTTTGAAGTTTGAAATTTTATTTTGCTTCAATAACATCTGAAGGTTGATCTTTGAATTTTTTTGCTTTCTAGAGAAAAGATATTCACATGATTCTTTTTCCTTGCTTTTTATTGTCTATAGTCTTATGAGCTATAATATTTTTGAGAGATTGAAATAAGTAAAAACATAAATACTGCTTCTATGTTTGGCATTTCTCAACATGACTTCCCATTGTTGTTTGTCAAGTGTTAATGAATATTTTTTT